GGGACAGAAAATTCCAGGTGGAACAAGAGATTTTAGGTGGGACAGGAGGTGCCAGAAGACTCCAGGTGGGACAGGAGAGTCCAGGTGGGACAGAAAATTCCAGGAAAATCCAGGTGGGACACAAAATTTTGGATGGGACAGGAGATGCCAGATGGGACAGAAAAGTCCAGATAGGACAGGAGATTTCAGGTAGGACAGGAAATTTTGGGTGGGACAGGAGAATTCCAGGTGGGACAGGAAATTCCAGGAAAATCCAGGTGGGACAGAAAATTTTGGGTGGAACAGGAGATTTTGGATGGGCCAGGAGAATTCCAGGTGGGACAGGAGATGTTGGGTGGGACAAGAGGTGCCAGGAAATTCAAGATGGAACATGAAATTTTGGGTGGGACAGGATGGACAGGAGATTTCAGGTAGGACAGGAAATTTTGGGTGGGACAGGAGGTGCCAGAAGACTCCAGGTGGGACAGGAGATTCCAGGAGATGTTGGGTGGGATAGAAGAGTCCAGGTGGGACAAGTGGGACAGGACACTCCAGATGGGACAGGAGAATTCCAGGTGGGACAGAAAATTCCAGGTGGAACAAGAGATTTTAGGTGGGACAGGATGGACAGGAGAATTCCAGGTGGGACAGAANGGACAGGAGAATTCCAGGTGGGACAGAAAATTCCAGGTGGAACAAGAGATTTTAGGTGGGACAGGATGGACAGGAGAATTCCAGGTGGGACAGAAAATTCCAGGAAAATCCAGGTAGGACACAAAATGTTGGGTGGGACAGGAGATACCAGGTTGGGACACAAAATTCCAGGTGGAACAGGAAATTCCAGATGGGACAAGAGGGGAAGAAGAATTCCAGGTGGGACAAGAGATTTTAGGTGGGACAGGAGAATTCCAGGCGGGACAGAACAGTCCAGGTGGGACAGGACAGGAGATTTCAGGTAGGACAGGAAAGTTTGGGTGGGACAGGAGATTTTCAGTAGGACACAAAATTCCAGGTGGGACAGAAAATTCCAGGAAAATCCAGGTGGGACACAAAATTTTGGGTGGGACAGGAGAATTCCAGGATGGACAGGAGAATTCCAGGTGGGACACAAAATTCCAGGTGGAACAGGAGATTTTAGGTGGGACAGAAAATTCCAGGTAGGACAGGAGATTCCAGGAAAATCCAGGTGGGACACAAAATTTTGGGTGGGACAGGAGATTTTGGGTGGGACAGGAGAATTCCAGGTGGGCCAGGAGAATCCAGGTGGGACAGGAGATGTTGGGTGGGGACAGAAAATTCCAGGTGGAACAAGAGATTTTAGGTGGGACAGGAGATGCCAGGAAAATCCAGGTGNTCCAGGTGGGACAGGAGATGTTGGGTGGGGACAGAAAATTCCAGGTGGAACAAGAGATTTTAGGTGGGACAGGAGATGCCAGGAAAATCCAGGTGGGACAGAAAATTTTGGGTGGAACAGGAGATTTTGGGTGGGCCAGGAGAATCCAGGTGGGACAGGAGATTCCAGGAAAATCCAGGTGGGACACAAAATTTTGGGTGGAACAGGAGATTTTGGATGGGCCAGGAGAATTCCAGGAGATGTTGGGTGGGATAGAAGAGTCCAGGTGGGACAAGTGGGACAGGAGAATTCCAGGTGGGACAGGAGATTCCAGGAAAATCCAGGTGGGACAAGAAATTTTGGGTGGGACAGAAGAATTCCAGGTGGGACAGAGGAGTCCAGGTAGGAGACTCCAGCAAGAGCATGAGATGTTGGGTGGGACAGGAAATTCCAGGAAAATCCAGGTGGGACACAAAATTTTGGGTGGAACAGGAGAATTCCAGGTGGGACAGAAGTGTCCAGGTAGAACATGAAATTTTGGGTGGGACAGAAGGTCCTAAGTGGGACAGAAATGTCCAGGTGGGACAGGAGATTTCAAGTAGGACACAAGAGTCCAGGTGGGACAGGAGATGCCAGGTAGAACATGAGATTTTGGGTGGGACAGGAGATGCCAGGAAATTCAAGATGGGACATGAAATTTTGGGTGGGACAGGTGGGACAGGAGATTCCAGGAGATGCTGGGTGGGACAGAAGAGTCCAGGTGGGACAGAAAATTCCAGGAAAATCCAGGTGGGACACAAAATTTTGGGTTGAACAGGAGATTTTGGGTGGGACAGGAGAATCCAGGTGGAACAGGAGATGTTGGGTGGGACAAAAGGTGCCAGGAAATTCAAGATGGGACACAAAATTTTGGGTGGGACAGGAAATTCCAGATGGGGACAGGATGGACAGGAGAATTCCAGGTGGGACAGAAGAGTCCAGGTGGGACAGAGGAGTCCAGGAAAATCCAGGTGGGACAGAAAATTTTGGGTGGAACAGGAGATTTTGGGTGGGACAGGAGAATCCAGGTGGGACAGGAGAATCCAGATAGGACAGGAGATTTCAGGTAGGACAGGAAATTTTGGGTGGGACAGGAGATGCCAGGTTGGGACACAAAATTCCAGGTGGAACAGGAGAATTCCAGGTGGGACAGGAAATTCCAGATGGGACAGGATGGACAGGAGAATTCCAGGTGGGACAGAAGAGTCCAGGTAGGAGAGGAAATTTTGGGTGGGACAGGAGATGCCAGGTGGGACACAAAATTCCAGGTGGGACAGAAAATTCCAGATGGGGACAGGATGGACAGGAGAATTCCAGGTGGGACAGAAGAGTCCAGGTGGGACACAAAATTCCAGGAAAATCCAGGTGGGACACAAAATTTTGGGTGGGACAGGAGAATTCCAGGATGGACAGGAGAATTCCAGGTGGGACAGGAGATTTCAGGTAGGACAGGAAATTTTGGTGGGACAGGAGATGCCAGGTTGGGACACAAAATTCCAGGTGGAACAGGAGAATTCCAGGTGGGACAGAAAACTCCAGGAATTTCCAGGTGGGACACAAAATTTTGGGTTGAACAGGAGATTTTGGGTGGAACAGGAGATTTTGGATGGGCCAGGAGAATCCAGGTGGGACAAGTGGGACAGGAGATTCCAGATGGGACAGGATGGACAGGAGAATTCCAGGTGGGACAGAAAATTCCAGGAAAATCCAGGTGGGACACAAAATTTTGGGTGGAACAGGAGATTTTGGGTGGGCCAGGAGATTTTGGGTGGGCCAGGAGAATTCCAGGTGGGACAGGAGATGTTGGGTGGGGACAGAAAATTCCAGGTGGAACAAGAGATTTTAGGTGGGACAGGAGATGCCAGGAAAATCCAGGTGNTCCAGGTGGGACAGGAGATGTTGGGTGGGGACAGAAAATTCCAGGTGGAACAAGAGATTTTAGGTGGGACAGGAGATGCCAGGAAAATCCAGGTGGGACACAAAATTTTGGGTGGGCCAGGAGAATCCAGGTGGAGGTCCCTGACCTGTGTCCTGCAGGTGTCCTGCAGCTTCAGGTACTTCTCCATCAGGATGTGGTTGATCTTGTTGAGGACGATGTTCATCCCATCCCTGCTGACCAGCGCCAGGTCCCGGTAACACTGAGGGCAAAAATGGGAAAAAAAGAGGAATTTATGGAAAATTCAGGGATTTTTGGGAAAAATCAGCCCAGGAATGGACGGAAAATTCAAGGAGTTTTGGGGAAAATCCAGGAAATTCCATGGAAAACTCATCCTGAGCAGGGAATGGATGGAATCCATTGCCAGGATGGAATCCTCAATTCCCATGACAATTCCCAATTTTCCATGATCAATCCCAATTTTCCATTATAAAATTCCCATTTCCATGA